TGACAATCGATGACGGTCGGTGGTGGTCGACGAAGGTCAGCGGTGGTCAACGACAATCGATGACGGTCGACGATGGTTGACGGAGGTCAGTGGTGATCGACGGTGGTTGACGGTGGCCGACGACGGACGATAGAGGTCAGGGTATATCGCCGACGGTCGGTGGTGGTCGACGGAGGTAGACGATGAGAGGGATGATGTTGGAGTTGATCTCCTTCTCAAATCTTCAAATTCTTTCTCAAGCCTCCCCCCTCATGTGAGGGGTGGGGCTCTATTTATAGTGTTTTGGGTGCAATTAATGCAGGAATATGAACCATTTTGATCGGACAGTCCAGAGAGCTTCCCTCAATTGGATAGTGTTTGATGGACATTTTAGTGTCTTAACGATGTCAGAATTGAGTAATTTTGAGCTCGTTGGATTCGCCTTGTCGAGACGCTCGATTCGCGAGACGCTCGGAGCTCGTTGGATTCGCCTTGTCGAGACGCTCGATTCGAGTATGAACTCGTTGAATTCGACATTCGTTTGATAAAATCTTCCAAACTGAAAATCTTCTAAAATGATTTAATCACTTGATCTGGGCTTGATTTAACTCGGATTGGACTAACTTTGATATAATTAGAACTGTCTTATCGAGTCACTCAGTTTGACTATAAGTTTGCTGAAATCAGAGCTTTGGGTGGCTTTTAATTAAAGTTTGAATGTTTTTTGCTCAAAAGGTTGCCTTGAGATTCATGTCATGCCTCTAAATTTGTGTCGGATGATGAAAATTTATTGTTGGTGTATCATACATATGTATTTTTTTGCGGATATTGATCCACGGTGCTTCCGCCCAATATTTTTTGGCCAGACATACTTGATATATCATTGCGAGGTTTATCGCATGTAGGCTCTTCATATTTTTTTCTCTTGTTTGTCATATTTTTCTTATGTCCATCTTTTCTCATTCATCTCTTCTCCTAATAATTCACATGATCCGGAAAAGTAAAGCATAATATGATAGACAAACAGGTGACTCATTTAAGAATAAAAAGAGAGGAACAAAAACACCAGTCAAATGACGGGTTCGAAAAATAATTGACGCAATATGACTGTCAGTTAATAATTGTTTTTAACCGACGGTCTAATGCGTCGGTAATAATAAAAACAGTCAGAAAAAAAAATTATTTATATTCTTAAGCGACTGCATGATTTATAATGATTTAAGAATAAAAAGAGAGGAACAAAAACACCAGTCAAATGACGGGTTCGAAAAATAATTGACGCAATATGACTGTCAGTTAATAATTGTTTTTAACCGACGGTCTAATGCGTCGGTAATAATAAAAATCGTCAGAAAAAAAAAATTATTTATGTTCTTAAGCGACTGCATGATTTATAATTATATTGTCACAAATAACCCATCTCATAAAACGTCTCTATGCTGTCAGAAAATCAAAAAATCAAGCCTTTTTTCCAACGTCTATTTAGGTCGTCAATTATTATGTCAGTTTTAGCATTTTTTCATGTATTGTGATTGACTGCAGATGGTATGATCAACCTCATGAAGTCTTGTGAAATTCAAACTCTTTTGAATGAATATTGTTACCACGAAGAACATGATAAAGTCTATAAAAAAATAATGATGTTTGAAATGCCTTAGTGTTGTCCCCATAAGTTATAAATTGATATTGAAAACCAAAAAGAATTTAAAGGGCAATGTCAAGTGATGTAAGTCATATCTAACTGCTAAAATCTTTACACTGAGTCAACAAACTGAATGTATAGAGATTTTCTCTGAAGAATCCTTAGAAGTTCCTTCAGAATTATAATGACACTGGTGGCTCATTTTAATCTTGAGTTGCATTAAATGGAATGTCGAAATAGAAATATCAAATTGGAGACATTGATGAAATAAATTATATGGTATAAGTAATAAAAATTTTATGTGGAGATCTAAAGTCAATGCTTTACTAGTCAAAACATTTCATTAGTGATGTAAAACAAGCTTTTTGTCAGTTCTTAAACAAGTTCCATCAAGTTTTCATTTTGAATGATTTTGAGATGAATGTTGTTTATGATAGTAAATATATCTTTCTGATATTATATATTGATGACATTAATCTTAGGAAATTTGGTCTTCTGTTCTCTGAAGTTTGCCAAAAATGTCTCCTTTTCCTTCAAAAATGAAAAGAAAATATAAACAGAAATAAATTGAAAATCACTAAATGATTTACAACACTTATTTTTTATTAATTAAAATAAATATTTATATATAATACCCCTGCAATGTTTAAACAAAAATTGTTTGCTTCACAACAAACTTACAATATGTCTTCTACATGACAGACCCCTAAAGCAAATAAAATCATACATTAATATCTAACTGTAGCCTAATATTTGAAATTATTTTCATCAAGTTTGGGAAAAACTCGATAAAATTTTCATCAATTTTGCATGTTCGGGTTATGTTCGCGGCAGACAATTCACCCCTCTGAAATTTGAGATTTCTCTATTTGAATAGTTAATTTTAATATTTTGTCTTATTTAAAACTGATAATATAAAAATATTAAATGGTTAAATCGCTTTATAATTTGTTACTTATTTGACATGATCAAAGTTACATATTCTTAGACAAAATATCCTAATTAATAATCCCAAGATAGTTAGGCAAAGTAATATACAATTACACACCCTCAAGTAATAAATATTAACTAATCCAAACCATTTATAGTAATTACATCACATGTTTTGTTGACTATGATATGGTTTAGTGAAAGATCCATCCATTTTTTCAGGAAACTGCTTTGCTTCCAAGCTTTGTAATTAATTATTTTTTTCCCATTCATAACTCTAATTAATTATATAAAATTTTAATTAAGAAAGTAACTAAGGATAGGTTATTAGGTTTGAGATTAGACAAGTGTCAAACGCATAGGACATGTCTGACACGTGTAAGCTTTGGATGTTTGGCACGTGGATGAGCTTGCTTCGAAAGTTGTGGGGAGTGATGATGGAGGTGACATACATGCCCATGCTTGTAAACCTAACAAGTAATTGGCCAATTGGATTCGATTTTATCCTCAAAAACTTCTATAGTTATTTTTCAAACCTTTCTCCCTCTTACTTGTGTTCTAAGTTTAAAAATCAAATTTGGAATTATTTAATTGTAATTGCATTCTTAGGGGCGCCCATCTCTGGAGTCTGGCAGAAAAGATCGAGTCCCAAGTGTCGGAAGGTGTCTTTAAGAATGAAATATTACATGATAATGGTTTCCATTGATAGCCACACTCAACTGCTATGGGCTAGTCTATCATTCTAAGGAGAACGAATACAATCGGATCAGCAAGTGAACTCGATCCAACAATTTCGAAAGACGGGCTTGATTCTAATTAAGTGAAAATTTATGTATACTTGTATTTGTGTATACATAAATCTTATGACATTATGTATATATATATATATATATATAATGACATAGATCGGAA